AGTAAATTTATATTATGACATTTTATTACATCATCCTGAAATCATCCAATGGTATTACATCTTTATATTCTATTCTATATAGCCCGGAGTTATAGTGGTAAGTCTTTTCAGTCATTAAATGGATCACCATATGACTGCTCTTAATTTTATGACTTTTTTGAGGCGGTTGTTAAGTGAAAACTGTTATCATTAAGCTGTTTTATATAATGGGGTTTTTTTTTTTTTTGCTACAAATCAGAAATAAAAGTTGCAAACTAGGAAAAAAAACCTCAAAAATTATGGTACATGACTATGGGATGTTGTAAATGGCCGTAAAGGTGAGCTGGTTGCCAATAACCAAAAATGTGATAATTTGACTGCAGCATATATGTGTTCAGCCTTTGGAACTTTAAAATCAAGTGACAAGTACCTTTGTGGTTGATCCATTGTATTATCACAGTCACTGAGAACTACCTGTATAACAGTTATGCAATGCAGTTTTTTCATATTTTACTGCCATTATGTTTTTCATTTACTTTCATTGTAATTTAAATTGATTGTTGTAATGATTTTTATGTAGTGTTCATTATTGCTTTGTATACCAACCAGAATCACTATATGAGATGGGTGGCTATATAAAGTACACCCTCAGTTCATCAGTCCTCAGTTTAGCAGACTCCAGGTGCAACAAACAAAACCTGTTTGCTATTTCTGCATGTATAATTCTATATATTGCAATTAAAAACATGGGACTTAAAAGCAAGTTAATGTGGTTGTATGATTTTAATGTGAACAACTTTAATAACTCATCTTAAGTTAACTATGTGAACCAATAACAAAATTATGTTTTAATACTCTAACATGGTATAATATAGGATTACAATATTTTAAGATTATGTCATATTTCTCAAAAGTATCTTTATTGGATTTGCATTACTCTCCCAATCTGTGCTTGTGAGTGACTAATTTGTTATCAGATTCATGCCTTTAAGCAAAGAGAAAAGATTCAAGGTATTTCCATATTTCTCTGTTCCAGAATCAAATATTGTATATGAACCTATTAGAATAAGTAGTAAAGCAGCCACCAAAATAATTCATCGAAACTATGATATTGAGAAATAATGTTTTCACATATCCCTTTTTCTTGTTTCCTGAATTTTTACCAGTTGTAAAGTAAATATTTCCTTATTAAGATCTTTTACTAATGCATATGAATACACTACATGCATTGCCTTTGATCAATATTTTACATACATTTGATATTCTTATTTATTTATTTAACCATATTTATATGCTCACTGTCCTGAGTGATTCTGGGCAGCTTACAATAGAATAAAAGCATACATTTCAAAACATTAAAAATGTGAAGATTAACAATCATTAAATAAAAAGTTAAAATCAAGAGCAGACAGGACAGAGGTGGACTTTTATCTATCATTCAATCATCCACCACCACTATAGTGTACTCTACCTGGGCCCAAGCCAACTGGCAGGTTTTAATGCTCCTCTGGAAGGCCAGAAGGGTGGAGGCAGATTTCTCCTCCAGAAACTAAATCAGGGACCTTTCCACACAAAACATGTGCTCTATTGAGCCATAGTTTTTGCATCTAGATATATAATTATCTCTTTCATCGGATTATAATTAATAACAGACTCTTTGCTACATGCTATATCTACAATATATGATATGATAACGTAAGAATGCTATAGGCTGGGGTGCCAATCCACAATCAGAAAACAAACCTGCAACAAGGCCTCACTCTATAATTTTATCGAATTATATTAGATAAAATAACTAGGCATTCTTGTATTTCAGGGCAAAATACTTAATTCTTAAATAAAAATCCAAATTACAGCAAATAAGTCTGGAAAGAAAGTCTCTTTCTAGAATACGTAGTATTTCAAGAAGCATGATTATTGCACTAAAATTAAGTTTAATCATTAATAAACTTCTATCGCTTTTCTGCTTAGTTGCTTATTTTCCTGATGCTAGGATTGAGTCCTAAATTTCTTTGTTCCTCCCTATTTTGAGTTGGTCAGACTACATCTGCAATATGCTACCATGAGAATGCTGTAGTTTGGGTGTGCCAATTCACAATCAGAAAGCAATCCTATAACTATGCCCCATTCATATCTTCTCAAACTGCCTGCAGCCAGGGTGAAGTTTACTGCAAGTCATTCTAGATGACTCCTTGCCAACTTTCTTGCTGCGTATCTCAAATATCTATTATTCAATAACAGGTTGCTTCCGATTACAGCGGTTTCCTTTTATGGTGTGTTAGGCATATTTCTTTTCACCTCTGCCTCATCATCTTTTACACCCAAGCATGCTGACAATTGAAGGCTAATTTAGAATTGCTCACAACTGCCCATAGGTATCAACGCATACCTACGCTGTGAAGGGCTGCTGGGTAAATGTAGGATGCAGATGGCTTCAGATAAACCAAACACCTTCCAAAGCCCAACTACACGTTGTGTGGAGGTACATATCCTGCATGGAGGTTGGTTGATCCAACTTCCTGTTCTCTGCTTTGCTGTTTTGAGTGTCCTCTAGCCAGAATGTTACATTTATAGAAATATAAATGGAATGGCTATGCAACTGTTCCCAAATGATAGGCACATGCCGTATGTTCTCTTCCATACAGTGCTGGAGAAGTCTGCTCAACCCTTGGCTTAGAATGCATTTTTTCTAAAAGGTAAACTCTAGTACTATTCTCAAGACTTGATAGCAAATAGTGCTAGTATAGAGGACTCATCATCCCTTCCCTCAATAGATCAGGTTTAACTGATCTGCCAGTCACAAAGTGGAACAGTTACTTTGTACTGAATATCTATCCCAATATAGGACGAGAGAAACAGGTTTAAATTTTTGTTTAGGAAAGGTCATACTGTTGTTTTTCACCATCTTCATTATTCAGGCACATGACGTTCTCATCTACATTCCCAATCCACATAATTTACTGGCTTAAAATTGTACCTGCTCCTAAACTTAACAAGGTTTGGGTTTTTCCTTTGATAATAAACTTC